CATGCCTTGACCAATCCAGATTAAATTTCACACTACAAAATGGTAGTATATGATGGCATGATGATATTTTTGGTGTTCTAGTCGCAAGAAACTCTGGGAAGGATAATGACATTATATCTAACAAAAAAAAAAGATTCACCCCCTCTGTTTTTTCACATATGACTTATTCAACTTATTCGCAAAACATAAACAACTTGCGAAGACTCTTGTGCATTATAATATTGCCAAAATGGCCACTACCCACTAAAATGCAACCAACATTTTCTCAGAAATTAGGCTGGTAACCCCCAACTTTTTGAGTCAATATTATTATATTGCCAGGAAGTACAATTTATTGGAAAATTAATAAATTCTAGGTATTTGCATTTACGAGTAGACAGTGTAAATATTCAGCCAAAAATGTATACATTTCCCACTGGGAAACCAACAACTGACAGTCCTATCATAACAAGTGAAGTATTCCAAATGCAACCACCGCATCAAAGTCTAATGCGACCATTCTGACAGAACTACTGACACATTGTGTCAATAAAAACATATCAATTTCTGTTCCTCTCAGGATGAAGTTGTGAAAATGAAGAGCAGTGTCAGTTTAGATCTGAATTTAGAGAGAAGCAGGGCAAAAGATGTGGTAAGTCAACTGTTTCTATGGTTACCTGAAACTGTTGATACATTACCTGAGTGAGTTTTCAGTATGGAATATGATTGTATTGCCAATTTTTAGAAAAACATATATTAAGTTTGATTCCCCCAAACCTGAGGTCTGCCACTTTGCATTTAAATATTGAAGAAGCATTCTGTGGACACCATCACTTGAACAATAAAGAAGCATTCTGTGGACACCATCACTTGAACAATAAAGAAGCATTCTGTGGACACCATCACTTGAACAATAAAGAAGCATTCTGTGGACACCATCACTTGAACAATAAAGAAGCATTCTGTGGACACCATCACTTGAACAATAAAGAAGCATTCTGTGGACACCATCACTTGAACAATAAAGAAGCATTTTGTGGACACCATCACTTGAACAATAATTCATTATACTATGTTGCAGGTCTCACGACTTTGTTGTCCCCTCTCCAAAATTTAGTGTGCTTCAAATTAATTAATCATATCATTTTTTCCTCAACTTATTATTTCTTAGGAAGCTGAACTGCGTAAAAGTACGGAGCTTATTGACAAAAGAATAGACACAGAAATTGCCAATGTTAAAGCCTTTATTGAATCTAATAAGTATGAGACATTGAAATACATGGGAGGTATGACTATACCCAGTATACTGTGCAATTAAATAGAAACTCATAGTTTTAAATCAGAGTTATATCTATTCAGAAAGTATCTGTGATATTATTATTGATTGCCCGTCACAGAGCTGGATGGTACACTTTACCAGTAAACTTTACCATTAGACTACCAGTAGACTTTACCAGCAGACTTTACCAGTAAACTTTACCATTAGACTACCAGTAGACTTTACCAGTAAACTTTACCATTAGACTACCAGTAGACTTTACCATTAGACTACCAGTAAACTTTACCATTAGACTACCAGTAAACTTTACCATTAGACTACCAGTAGACTTTACCATTAGACTACCAGTAGACTTTACCAGTAAACTTTACCATTAGACTACCAGTAGACTTTACCAGTAAACTTTACCATTAGACTACCAGTAGACTTTACCAGTAAACTTTACCATTAGACTACCAGTAGACTTTACCATTAGACTACCAGTAGACTTTACCATTAGACTACCAGTAGACTTTACCATTAGACTACCAGTAGACTTTACCATTAGACTACCAGTAAACTTTACCATTAGACTACCAGTAAACTTTACTAGTAGACTTTACCATTAGACTACCAGTAAACTTTACCATTAGACTACCAGTAGACTTTGCCAGTAAACTTTACCATTAGACTACCAGTAGACTTTACCAGTAAACTTTACCATTAGACTACCAGTAAACTTTACCAGTAAACTTTACCATTAGACTACCAGTAAACTTTACCATTAGACTACCAGTAGACTTTGCCAGTAAACTTTACCATTAGACTACCAGTAGACTTTGCCAGTAAACTTTACCATTAGACTACCAGTAGACTTTGCCAGTAAACTTTACCATTAGACTACCAGTAAACTTTACCATTAGACTACCAGTAAACTTTACCATTAGACTACCAGTAGACTTTGCCAGTAAACTTTACCATTAGACTACCAGTAAACTTTACCATTAGACTACCAGTAAACTTTACCATTAGACTACCAGTAGACTTTACCAGTAAATTTTACCATTTGACTACCAGTAAACTTTACCATTAGACTACCAGTAAACTTTACCAGTAAACTTTACCATTAGACTACCAGTAAACTTTACCATTAGACTACCAGTAGACTTTGCCAGTAAACTTTACCATTAGACTACCAGTAGACTTTGCTAGTAAACTAGATTTTACAAGTAGACTACAGTACCTACAATCACAGACCTCTAAGGTCTATGCTCCAATACACTTTACCAGTTGAATACCAGTAAATATGAGTAGTTTTTACCAGTGGACTTTACCAGTAGAATACAGTAGGATACTTATCATGTATATTACAGTAGACTTTATTCAAACTTTACCAGTAGTTTTTACAAGACTGGACTTCACCAGTATACATTTTTGTACATTACCAGTATACATGAATTAATAGAATAATGTTTGTTGATTCAATAAATATGTTATTATCAATTGTATGCCAGCTGACTGCTGTAAGTGTCTCTAATTCTGTGTCTTCTTAATTTCAGGTACAATTGTTGCATCTCTTGGTGTTGTATTGACCTTTTGGAGATTGTTCATGGTGTAACAGCCTCACCACCGAGTGATCCTGCCAAGCTGCAGACAACAACAAGTATTTAGAAATAAAATTTGGTTTTTATGTTTAATGAATTTTCATTTATAAGTATTATATTTTATGTCTTTATATTTATGAATAAATTATTTAGAAATTATGCAATGCTTTCAGTGTTTTGCTTCTTTTTTTCATAGAAATAGATTTTCTGTCAGTTTGCTGATGTCATCTATTTGGAACCACCTTTCACAACTTTTCAGATAATTTTCTTATCTTCTGAATGTGGCTTGCAATCTTGCATACAACATTCTCGTCCTTCAATGCAACTTTTATGATTTTTCAGGCAACTTTTTCATCTTATTAAACAATTTTGCTATCTTTCAAAAAACCTTCTCTGACTTTTGTTTGTCTAAACCAGCTATGTAAACTTTTTATACAACCGTTCCACCTTCCAATGCAACTGGCACTATTTTGCGGACGAATTTTCCAATTTCAACACTAAGGGCAGGAAAAAAAATTCTGTTTCTTGTTTCATGGAAATTTTAAAATGACGATGCGTTTTTTTTTTGTTTTTTTTTTAATACTGAGCTAAAATGGGGGAAATTTGAGACAACTGCGAGTACAAGCGTATTTTGGAATGCTTTAGAATAAAAAACAAGCAGCCTGTCGGCTGAGATAGCTCCGCTGTTAGCAATGCACATTTCAATTAAAGAATAGATATCATTAAAAAAATGAACAATATGTATAGTATCGAAGCAATGGGACTTGCTGTTTTCAACATAAATTCAAAAATATCATTTTTCACCAAAAATAATCATCAAAATTAGATAATTGAAGATATCACCACGAAATTAATAAATCTGAAAGAGGTCCACATGTAGTACCTATATATGTAATATAAAAGCAATCAGACTTGCGGTTTTCAACAAGAAGTCGAAATTATCACTTTTTACCAAAAATGACAAAAATATTCACCAAAATTAGAGAATTAAAGATATCACTACAAATCGAACAAATCTGAGAGAGGTCTACATGTAGTACCTATATATGTAATATCAAAGCAATTGGACTTGCGTTTTTTAACAAGAAGTCGAAAATATCACTTTTTACCAAAAATGCCAAAAATATTCACCAAAATTAGAAAATTAAAGATATCATTACAAAATGAACAAACCTGAGAGCGGTCTACATGTAGTACCTATAAAGTAGACAGCGGAGCTAAAAAAACGTTTGAGGCGCATAGTTCAAAATATGTGTGCGAGAAACATATTTTTTTTCTCAGCCTAAGTGTACTTTTCTGACTTTGCACATAGGGTATCTTTATTCACTTTCTACACAGCTTTACCAATTATCCATACTTCAACTTTCCACACACTTTTACATTGAACCAACCTTTCACACTTCACCAACATTCTTTGTAAATTTACTCTCTCTACATGACTCAACAACTTTCCATACTGTGTAATTGCAAAGTTGCCAGCAGACTTTATTTTGAATTCAAATTTGCATTTTCAAATTATTGAAAATGTCCACTTGCATGTTTGAATCTGAGCGGGTTTCACTCTACTTTGTAATCCTGTTTGTATTTGCATCGTCTAAACCGATAATTGGCCGGCTTGATGTGATGTCAAGAAGATTCATCAGTTTGCCATTCTTGCTTTGCGTCATTTCTTGATAAGAGATACAAGTTTGACATAACTCTGCTTTGCGTCATTCCTTGATAAGAGATACAAGTTTGACATAACTCTGATTTGCGTCATTCCTTGATAAGAGATACAAGTTTGACATAACTCTGCTTTGCGTCATTCCTTGATAAGAGATACAAGTTTGACATAACTCTGCTTTGCGTCATTCCTTGATAAGAGATACAAGTTTGACATAACTCTGCTTTGCGTCATTCCTTGATAAGAGATACAAGTTTGACATAACTCTGCTTTGCGTCATTCCTTGATAAGAGATACAAGTTTGACATAACTCTGCTTTGCGTCATTCCTTGATAAGAGATACAAGTTTGACATAACTCTGCTCTGCGTCATTTCTTGATAAAAGATACAAGTTTGACATAACTCTACTTTGCGTCATTTCTTGATAAGAGATACAAGTTTGACATAACTCTGCTTTGCGTCATTCCTTGATAAGAGATACAAGTTTGACATAACTCTGCTTTGCGTCATTCCTTGATAAGAGATACAAGTTTGACATAACTCTGCTTTGCGTCATTCCTTGATAAGAGATACAAGTTTGACATAACTCTGCTTTGCGTCATTTCTTGATAAGAGATACAAGTTTGACATAACTCTAATTTGCATCATTTCTTGATAAGAGATACAAGTTTGACATAACTCTGCTTTGCGTCATTTCTTGATAAGAGATACAAGTTTGACATAACTCTATAGATACATGTATTGTGGAAAATTGAAAACAAAAGTGTATGTCATGTCAACTTTGCTAGGGATATTGCAATGTTCCAAGGGACAAACCTAATCCTATATAAACAGACTTCTCAGCCAATTTTAACAACATTCATATAACAAGTGAATTACTTTTAACCTTCCAGAAACCTACCAGAAATTTCATTACTGAACAAAAATTCATTTCACATATTGAGATTATTTAATACCAGGCAATTATACAATCCCAAATATTATATTTGCTATTAAATAAATGCTTTAATTCCATAATTTACAAAATGTATTACATTAATTAAGATAAAAATCTAGAAATACATTCCTTAATGTACAAAATCTACTGCATCAGAATGCATGCAGGCTTTATTTGTTTAAAATGTTGAAAGAAAACACAATCAATTAAACTGGGTGAACTATAGTTCAGTTATTAAGTAGTAGCTCACCATAGTTGTGATAGGTGGGCCACTGTTCATTACAAATAAGCTAGGTGGTCTATAGTTCATTGTAGTTATAAAGCCAAGCAGTATCAAATTTATCCTCGCTACCGGAAAGTTCACCATAGTTGTGATAAGTGGGCCATAGTTCATTACAGTTATAAAGCCAAGCAGTATCAAATTTATCCTCGCTACCGGAAAGCTCACCATAGTTGTGATAAGTGGGCCATAGTTCATTACAGTTATAAAGCCAAGCAGTATCAAATTTATCCTCGCTACCGGAAAGCTCACCATAGTTGTGATAAGTGGGCCATAGTTCATTACAGTTATAAAGCCAAGCAGTATCAAATTTATCCTCGCTACCGGAAAGCTCACCATGGTTGTGATAAGTGGGCCATAGTTCATTACAGTTATAAAGCCAAGCAGTATCAAATTTATCCTCGCTACTGGAAAGTTCACCATAGTTGTGATAAGTGGGCAACAGTTCATTACAGTTAAGCTAGGTGGTCTATAGTTCATCAGAGTTGGGCTTGGTGTCTACAAATCAGGCAATGATTTAACAATGAAAGATAAACTGCATGTCAAGAAATGCAGTTTTAATTCAAACTGAATTTACAAGATTATCAAAATAATTACAATGATGTATATTTACAAAAGTATTTCAGAACTTACATAATGAGTAATACTGGTTGTCACAAAACAAATGAAATGCACACACATAAATATGGTTATGATATACACTTGTACAAATATTCTGTTCTGTCTTGAGCAAGGCCATTCAGTGTACAGTGTTTACATTTTTACTTGACAGGGATTGAGACACATTAATGACTAGTAGCATATAAAGTCCGCTGAATCACAATTTATCATATACAAATAATTTCATAAAATACATGTATGATGGCAAATTTACATTCAAATCATAATTACATATTTCCTCTATTTTTAAAATACATCTTAACACAAAATATCTATATTACACATAACAAAATCATGTAGCAGACATGTAAGTTTTGCAAGAACAGCACCTTTCCCTGACTGAAGTATTTAAAGGCACCTTGGAAATGGACACATAATTTAATTAATGACAATTTGAGAACTCTGCAAATTAAAGACTAGGCTCAGATATTTGGTGAAATATTATAGTTACCTTCTTACATGAATACAAATATGATTCAAATAGTTGGTCTAAAAGAGAATAAATACAAAAACTATCATATTGGGTGGGGCAAGGTGCCAACATTTTCTGGAAAAAACACGGTACTTAGAATACAAAACATGTGAGCATGGCACTTTTACCATGCTTGGCAAACGAAATATGATTTCCAAAAAATAAAAGAGTTTGCTTCTATTGTGACACACAATACATGTATATAAAATTGATGTCACTAAAATTAGCTGTCATGCTTTATGTATTTAGGTAGTGAGAACACTATAACACAGCTCATCATGTATGGAATCAAATTTGGGTGACCATTTCCTTTATGATAAATGTACATTCAGATTGATAGTTTACTGTGTAACATGTCAATACATTGGGTAAAAAATCTGTGAACATTCGCAATATTATTTGACCATATT